CGTCATTTCCGCAGTTTTAGCAACTTAAATTGTTTATAACTTTAAAACTACCAATTTTAGAGGCATAGTGCATTGGAACTTTTTTGTTTATAATGTGCCAAAAACACTAACAATTTTTTTTCCGGAGTGAAAAGACAATTTTTACAATTTGTTTCAAAAAAGTTTGTTTAAACTAATGGGCATCAGATTTCCGGTCGGCATCATCTTGATTCATGTTAAGGAACATCCCACGAATCTGAATATGCAACAAAATCTAGTCGGAAAATTTCTCCCACGAATGCGAGGTTTTCGCCTTGTCTAATACTAGAAGGGGACATTCTTTGTAAATATATAAAAATATACAAGGTGTTTCATTCAAATTACCTAACAAAGTTTTTCTACTATCATTTTCGGAAACATAAAAAATCGTGCAACCATTTTATTTCACATTTTTTTATAACTCTTATTAGACCGGGAGATATTAGACTGAAGTTCGACGACGTCTTTCTCGTTTATGCCTCTGAGAGTACTGAAAGGTAACCGAGAGATAAGTACAATAAACTAAATTTAAAAGATGGACTGCGGGACACCTTTGTGAAAATTCAATTTTCCTTTTCAAAAAAATAATGTGTACAGCGACGTATTTCTCACTTATGCCATGTTCGTAAGTTGAAGAGAAGTATCGATTTTATCACAAAATTTTTTTGGCATAAGTGTCGCAAGGGACCTAAAAATGGAAAACTTTGTAAGAAAATGTGGANTCTCTTGAAATTTTTTTACTAACTCTAGAACATACTTCCTCCTGACATGTCGATCTTGATGTTGTTCATTAAATAGCTGAGCTGTTCTATTCGCATATTTATTGTTCATAATGTAAAGCGAAATGATATCTACTTTTTCCGCAATGAAATAAACCATAGTGTTTAATTTTCAAAAACACAATTAAATAAACTACCAACCAACGCTTCCAAATAATACTAGAAAATAATTTGGAATCCACTAATTTTACGTTCATTGTGTGTGTATAACATTCATTCCTGTTTTTTACAATTGTGTTTTTTTTACAAAATTGATAACAAATCGCCAAAAACTAATGTAACGCAAGAAATACTAAATTTATACCATTGGCGTACTTAACTCGAACGACTGAGATTTTTACCGTTACTAATTGTTTGTAGATAAGTTTCAACTTTAAAATCAAAATTCTTAATAAGTATTGGGCGGAATTATAAAATTTAAAGTCTGTTGTAAAGAGAATTGTAAGAACTTTCAAATGAAATATTACTCAACCTCCAATGCCATTTAAATATTTTGGAGTGATGCTAGCCCTTGCTTGGGGGTGAAAGTGGCGCAGTCAAAAATACCCGCCAAAAATGTCCCCCATTAATCTAAAATCGACGGGTCTGAGCGTTTTTCTACAATCTTGACGCAGTTCCTGAAAATGACTCGTTTCCATTTGGCCACCCTGTAAATAAATTATTTTAAATTAAATTATATTTTATTATAAAAAGCAAAGACAAAATACTTTTAGGCAAAATTACTATTTCAGTTATATACCACAATTATTAATAAAATTACTAAATGCTAAAGTAATTTTTTGTCTATGCTAAAAACAGTTTCTAAATACATAAAGACGGTCGTACACCAAAAGCTACGCTGTTCCAGCACGCCAAACCGGTTTTGCACAGCTTTTGATGTAAACCCCGTCATAAAACTACATGTTAAGCTAGCATAGCCATCTCGAGTACCTAACTGTCTTAAAATTTCTAGTGTTACCTGACCTTCCACATGGATCTATATTAGGACCACTAATATATATTATTATTCTCAGTAATTTAGAAAATTAAAAAGCTCAATCTAAGGTAAACATCAGTATATGAATGACTCACTTGACAGTGAATAGTTTTCTATCAAAATTGCATTTCCTAAAGGTATTCATAAAAATTTATATCCGGCCTACTAGTATATTGTAATATGTAGTATTACATGACTTTCTTGAAAATGTTAAACAAAATTGTTTAACAACACTATATTTATTAACAAAATTACAAAAAGTTCCGCAAAAGCCTAACAATTGCAGCTTCTACTGGGTATTCCACAGGGATCTATTCCTGAGCCAATCACTGCCAGTAATTTGCAGTTTTCAAACGCTCCAAATCGTCCAATTTTTTAATCCTGAAACCCCATACAAAGCTTTTAATGGAATCAATTCGCAACGCCCCCTCAAATTAATTGAGTCAGGTGCGTAACCATCGCCTAAACATAACCTTTTCGGGAGCCCATCAAGAAGTGGGTCCGAAACCGCGGGTCCTAATGATAATTTAATCGCGTTTGCAGGGGTGGGCCCGAGTAATTTGGAAGGCCATGTCGAATCCGAACCACCGTAATTTGTTGGAATTGGTCAATTTGCCGATGGGCATTGAAAGAATGATAGATGAGCGGCTGGCTTGGTTCTTCGAAGACGTTAGCGGTGGTGAATTTGCTAGGGAGGAGCTCTATGAGGGTTTCGTGCGGTTCCTTAACACTTTTGTTTTCTGAAAAATCATTTTCCAGCATTATTCGCTCTCTATAAATTCTTCAGATGCCAATTACTTTGATCTACTTACAAAATTAACAGATTACATTAAAAATATTGCAAAAAGTTCAGATTATAACATGCTCTTCCACTTAATCTTCACAAAACATTAATTATATTAACTCTAAAAGGCATTTACTAGAAATTAAATAAATGTAGAAAAAATAAAATGAACACAAATAGGCAGGGTGTGACTTTAACTGGGTGTAATTTTTTTTAAAGGTAATTGTACGTATTGCCCAGAATATTAGTCCAAAAAATATATATATTTAATTGTAATAGGACCAAATATGTAACAAGAAGGNGCGGAAAAGAAAAACGACGTCCCCGAACTCGACAACCCTGATTGGCTGTGTGACTTAGCGTTTCTTATAGACATCACAAATCACTTGAATGTCATAAATACGCGACTCCAAGGCAAAGATCAATTGATTTCGCAGCTATACTCTCATGTTTCGTCCTTTCAATGCAAATTGAGTCTTTTCAGGACACAAATCAATTCAGCCAATTACGGCCATTTTCTGAACTACTAAAAAATTATGGAGAAGTTCAATAAAACTGACGTCAATTTGAAAATTGATACAAGCTTTTGAAAATCGTTTTGTAGACTTCAAAAAAGTTAAACCGCTATAGGACATTTTCAGCAATCCTTTCAACATTTCACCCGAAAATGCGCCGGAATTAATGCAGCCGGAATTAATAGACACGCAAAATGATGATAATTTAAGAAACAAATTTAATGAAGGTAATTTACTCAACTTCTACCGTTGCGTTGATAAAAACGCTTATAAAGAGTTGCGAATAAATGTATTGAAATGCGCAAGCTTATTTGGATCGACGTATATTTGTGAACAAACGTTTTCAGTGATGAAACTTAACATATCATTGTATTTCATACTATTTAAAAATAAAAAATTTTGTGTTAATAAATATTGTTTGTAGTGGCCCGTCCTTGGCTTATATTTTTTTCGAGTGGCCCCTGTTCCCTATAAGTCTGTGCATCCCTGCGCTAGACGAATCCGCGTATAAGAGAGGCGCGCGCGTGGCTCATATCGCTTTATTAACAATTAACAAACAAGGCTTCAGAATAATGCGAGTCCCAAAAACTTTTCAGCATCTTGTAGGGGGATGTTTAAACTTTAATTTAGGTACCTGGCAACATCGAAAATAACAATTTTTAACCCGGAAATCGGCCATTGAAAATCGTCATTTCCGCAGTTTTAGCAATTTAAATTATTTATAACTTTAAAACTACCAATTTTAGAGGCATAGTGCATAGGGACTTTTTTGTTTATAATGCGCCAAAAACCCTAACAAATTTTTTTCCGGAGTGAAAAACCAATTTTTACAATTTGTTTAAAAAAGTTTGCTTAAACAAATAGGCATCAAATTTCCGGTCGGCATCATCTTGATTCATGTTAAGGAACATCCCACGAATCTGAATATGCAAAAAAATCGAATCGGAAAATTTCTCCCACGAATGCGAGGTTTTCGCGTTGTCTAATACTAGAAGGGGACATTCTTTGCAAATATGTGAAAATATACAGGGAGTTCCATTTAAATTAACAAAGTTAACAACCGCGGCTATTTTGTTTGGACTTCATTTGTTTTTCTACTATCATTTTCGGAAACATAAAAAATCGTGCAACTTTTTTATTTCACATTTTTTTATAACTCATATAGGTAACAAGATAAGTTAAAGGGGGCGGGGGGTCAAAATATAGTGAATCACCCTATACTAGATCGCCTTTTGCAAAGGTACTAGTGCTTTTACATCCGCCGTTGACGTAACAAATGAGAAATGTGTAAAATTCCGTGTGTTGCAACTGAAAACGACCGGCTTCCATTTCAATAAAACAATTTTTTCGCTACGCCCAGCCCCACGGTCTTTATAGCTTCTAAATAACATGATAATTACGGTTGGATAACAGCAATCAATACCGGCAATAAACGAAGAAAATTGCAGGTACGTGGGTCGCGATGTGGCCATTTTAAACGCAATTCCCCGAGAGAAGTGCCCCATACATGCACTCCGCACACACACAACTATAAATTTTATACTTTCCGTACCAATATTCGAGGCAGTACTCGACAAGTCCCACCCATCTGGGTGATCCTGGTCCCTCCCATGCATTAAACCGATGGAAGGCACTTTTGCCAGCTTTCGGACGGCTCGCGGGCCCCTGCGGTACCCCTTGCCGGTATTAAAACTGCCTTCCTCCAGTACAATAGAACGCAAGGAGCGTTTCAGCCAATGGGTACTGAAAACTTGCCCACCAGGCGAAAATTTTTTTGTACGCTTGAATTATTGGGGTTAGTAAATTTAGTTTGACTCGTTGTGGTCGTCGTGCGGGCTCGTGTTTTTCGGCTCGCGATGCGCCTGTCCTTTGTTTTTCGCGGTGCGGGGCGAAAGTAGGCCGAGGAGCTGCCCGAGACGCTCCTGAAGATGGACATGAGGCCGATTTTTGGCGGATACCCCTTCCAAGGTACGCGATACTCATTCTTTCGATACAAAGTCGAACACCATCCATAAGATTCATTTTCAATCTTGGATGGTGTTCCGCAAGGATCTATTCCAGGTCCGCTGCTGTTTTACGACGAAAACTTAAGGAAAAATTGTTATCTAAAAGTTTAACCTATTTTACAATCATCATAAAGACCAGAACGGATACATAAAGACAAAATAAACGGCTTTTCTCTTGGTTCTTTACTTTTCGTGATATTGTACAAAAATTTTAAGGTAAACTCGTTCATATTTTACATAGAAAACATACCTACTTTGCACAAAAACAATTGTGAACATAATCTTTCCATTTTCAGTTGTATCATGTGTTCCACAAGGCTCTACATTAAGGCCACTGGCACTATATTATTAATAATTTGGTTTTATGGTATACATTATATCCCACTCACTCATTTAGTTGTTTGAATGTCAGTTAAACAAATTGGATATGTGACAGTTGTGGAAAAATATAAAAAATGATTGAAAATAAACATGACTGTCACTATTTCAGTCTTGAATGGTGTTCCGCAAAAATCTACATCAGGTCCAGTGCTGTTTTGTGACGAAAATTAGTTACTAAATATGTTTAATAACAGTACCAATTCAAAACAAAGCTATACTTCGACATTACGAGTTTCCTCCCTTTGAAGAAAAAATTGTCATGCAAATGTTTCAATTATTTTGTAATCATAGAGGACTTTTGTCGCGATAAATACCCTTTCTTTTTCCTGAACTGGATAAAAATTTTATGGTACTCGTTAATATAAGACCCAAAACAGTTTTGTGAACATGAACTTTTCTGTTTTACCAGGTGTTCCACATAGCTCTACATTAAGGCTACTGACATTTTATTGTTAATAATTTAGTTTGAAAGCGTACATTACATTACACTCACTTATTTACTTGTTTGAATTTCACTTGTGAAATTTCAGTTGTCAAAATATAAAAAATGATTCATAGTAACCATGACTGCCACTATTCAAAAGAAAAACCAAATTTCAAAATGTCATATATTTTCTACGGAAACTTTTATATACTGTAAAGTTTGCTACTACATTATGGTTGAAATTTTTAAAATACTTTATAAATTTTCTAAAAACATTTATATCACGAATATAATTTTTTTTTAAACAATGATAACATTAACTAAAGTTGCTTAGACCTATCCATAAGTTTCATTTTTGAATAATGAAGGTGTTCCGCAAGAATCTACATCAGGTCCACTGCTTACGATTAAAATTAGTTTCTAAACATGTTTAATACAAGTATTAATTTAAAAAAATAACATGCTTTGACATTAGATGGAAATTCTAAGAAAAAAATTGTCACGCAAAATAATTTTGTAATCATAAAGGACTTGTTTTGGTAACTGTCCTTTCCCTTTCATGATATTGGATAAAAATTTCATTATAAACTTACTAATATTTTACATACATATATACAGTGCCCAAAAACAGTTTTCTGAACATAAACTTTGCACTTTCAGTTTTTCCAAGTGTTCCACATGGATTTGCATTAAGGCCACTGACACATTATTATTCGTATTTATTTTTAAGAAATGCATTACATTAAACTCAATTATGTTCTTGTTTAAATATCGCGCAAATAAACGGAAAATGTAATAGTTGTGAAAAAATATAAAAAGTTATTCAAAATAAACATTACACTTTAAGAAAGAAAAATGAAATCTCCAAATCATAGATCTTCTACAAAAACTTCTATGTATTTAGTTAACTTTTGCTAGCACCTATTACTGTCGAAAGTTTTAAAATACATTTCTTAATATTTGTAAATTTTGTAGAATTTTGTCTTCCTAAAAAATTGATATAAAATACTACACACATAGGTTTTATTTAAACAATGATAACATTATCTAAAGTTGCAAAAGCAGTATACGTAAGTACAGGATGACAGTAGTATATCTAGAAATGAAACACTAACCGTAATCAAATGCAGTTAACAAGCGGTTTTGAAAAATTCTGTTAAATATGATTTACGTATCACATATCTCTAACATCTTGAGACAAACAAATACAAATAAATAAAAAAAAATACTCTATTGATATCCTCCAGTTTTTTCAGTCAAATTAATTTATTAAATCTTGTTTTTTTGCAATTATTCACAACCAATATGAATATCAAACTCAACACTTAATACTTCAATATTTTTTTAATTGCATGCTGTAAAGAATTTTAACTAAAAACCCAACACAGTTGGACTATCTACTACAGAAACAGAGTAAGATATAAATTGAAAAGTTCAGTAGACCAATATTTATATATATAAATAAAAATACAAAATTTTTTTGTGAAATTATACGAAAGTAATTCTTATACTTGATTATAATTGTGATAGTTTTGTGCACAAAATGGAAAACCAAAATAATATAGTAATAAAGGTGGACATTCTTTACTGGTATTTTTGACTACGCCACTTTCACCCTCAAGCAAGGGTAAGTAGCACCCCAAAATATTTAAATGGCATTGGGAGTTGAGTAGGTAATATTTCTTTTGAAAGCTCTTACAATTCTCTTTACAACAGACTTCAAATTTTATAATTCCGCCCAATACTTTGAAAAAAATTTACATTTTAAAATTTAAATAATGTTTAGTTGCTTACTTACTACTTAGTTGATTAAATGTTCAAACTGATGACCGCCCGCTTCCATACAAGAATAAAGATTTTGTTCGAAACTTTTTAGGTATCCCCACAAAAGGAAATCAAGGGGCGATAAATCCGGTGATCGTGGAGGCCACTCATAGCTGCCTCTTCTCTAAATCCAATTCCGTAGAAAACATTGGTCCAAATACTGACGGACAATTAATGCATAATGCGGAGGAGCACCGTCCTGTTGAAAAGTCAAATGATCTTCATCATACTCTGGAACATTTTCAATAATATCAGTCAAGGCAGGGTCAATACCGTCTTCCAATAGTTGCAAATACATTTGGCCAGTCAAATTACCAGATAGAAAAAAAGGACCCACCACCCGATCACCGAAAAACTCTTGGGTTTGAATCGGACCAATAGCGGCAATTGTGACGATTTACCGTCCCGTTCAAGAACTCGCTCACTCATTATTTCGCAAAATTGCAAACGACGGTCATCATCATCCTCATGAAGTTCCTGGAGTAAATGTATTTTGTATGGATGGAATTTATTCTTCTTCAAAATGATTTATATGCTAGTTCGATTGATCCCAGATAGAGATGCCAGCTGCCTCGTACTTAATGTAGGATCAAGATGAACTTGTCCCAAAACTGCAACTTCACTAGCTTCATTAACTATAGGTTTTCCAATTTCTCGTTTTTTATTGGTTACGTTCCCTGTCTCTTGAAATTTTTTTACTAACTCTAGAACATACTTCCTCTTGGCATGTCGATCTTGATGTTGTTCATTAAATAGCTGAGCTGTTCTATTCGCACATTTATTGTTCATAAAGTAAAGCGAAATGATATTTACCCTTTCCGCAATGGAATAAACCATAGTGTTTAATGTTCAAAAACACAATTAAATAAACTATCAACCAACACTTCCAAATAATACTAGAAAATAATTTGGAATCCATTAATTTTACGTTCGTTGTGTGTGTATAGCATTCATGTATGTTTTTTTACAATTATGTTTTTTTTACGAAAGTGATAACAAATCGCCAAAAATCAATATAACGCAAGAAATACTAAATGTATACCATTGGCGTACTTAACTCGAATGACTGACATTTTTACCGTTACTAATTGTTTGTACATAAGTTTCAACTTTAAAATCAAAATTCTTAATAAGTATTGGGCGGAATTATAAAATTTAAAGTCTGTTGTAAAG